TCCACAGGAAAGGTAAGGTACTATTAATTTCATATTGACTTTGATTTTTGTAGGAAATTTAACCCAATTCTTAATATATTACAAAACCATGAATTGTAATGTCTAATAAGCGTTCAATTAAATACTTCACAAAGGTCATGTTTTCGTCAAGAATTGATGACATTCAGGTCACTGAGATATGATTTTCTGTAGAAATGCTTTGAAAAAATATGCATAGTAAAAAAAAAAAAAAATTACAAACAAAAATATACAAATAAACCCAACTTTACAAATAATTTACAATTTACAATTTTTTTTTAAATTAGGAAGTTGATGGACATCAAGCAAAAGTCCTGGCATCTTTACATCATGAAAGACTTAAAGGGATAGTTCACCCAAAAAAGAAAATTACCCCATAATTTACTCACCCTCAAGCCATCCTAGGTGTATATGACATTCTTCTTTCAGACCAATACAGTTGGAGTTATATTAAAAATGTCCTGGTAATGGCAGTGAATGGGTGGTGATATTCAATAGAAATCCAGTAAACTGTGCACATCCATCATAAAAAGTACCTCACATGGCTCCAGGGGGTTAATAAAGGCCTCCTGAAGTGAATCAATACGTTTTTGTAAGAAAAATATCCATATTTAAAATGTTATAAACCGTAATGTCTAGCTTCCGCTAACTGTCGTGCGTGCGTTCATGAGAGTGGTGTTCCAGCGGATGACATAGGCGTAGCATAAGCTCCTGTGAGAATATGCTAGTCTCGCGAGAACCAACGTTTGTTTACAGGAGCAAAGGAAAACCAGTCTCTTGGCTTATATCGAAATCCTCTGACATTTTCCTTTACAAATCCTCGTTTTGTACTTCTAATTTGTGACCAGAGTTTTGTTTTGCTCTCTCCGTTGCGCTTCCACATTCGTCACTTCTCACCGGAGCTTACGCTACGCTACATCCTACATCATCCGCTGGAATGCCACTCTCTCGTGAACGCGCGCACGACAGTTAGCGGAAGCTAGAGATTACAGTTTATAAAGTTCTAAATATGGATATTTTTCTTTCAAAAACTTATCAATTCTCTTCAGGAGGCCTTTATTTACCCCCGGAGCCATGTGGGACACTTTTTTATGATGGATGGGTGCAGTTTATTGGACTTCTATTGGACTATTGAATAATACCACCCATTCACTGCTATTGTAAAGCTTGGAAGAGCCAGGACATTTTTTAATATAACTCCGATTGCATTCATCTGAAAGAAGAAAGTCATATACACCTAGGATGGCTTGAGGGTGAGTAAATAATGGATTAATTTACATTTTTGGGTGAACTATCCCTTTAAGTTTTACAAGACTCTTATATTTGAATATTTGGTATGATATGCATTTAAATGTTGATGTTAAATAGCTGATATAAGCAGAGCTGCAAATTCTATATTATGAATTCAATATATTAATTAATTCTATATTACACTACCATTCAAAAGTTTGGGGTATGTAATTTTTTTTTTTACATATATAAATGTATTATGTTACAAAAGATTTCAATTTCAATATCTATTTTTTTTTTTTTAAGTATCATGGTTTCCAAAAAATTAAGCAGCAAAATTGTTAACATTAATATTAATTAGAAATGTTTCTTGTGCACCAAATCAGCATATCAGAATGATTTCTGAGGGATCATGTGACACTAAAGACTAATGATGAGAAGAGTAAGGATGCAGAAAATTCAGCTTTGCATCACAGGAATAAATTACATTTTAAAATGTATTAAAATAAAAATAATTAAAAAAAAACGGTTATTTTAAATGTTAATAATATTTTACAATATTACAGTTTTATTGTACTTTTTATCAAATAAATGCAGCCTTGGTGAGCATAAGAGACTTCTTTCAAAAACATTTCTGACCCCAAACATTTGAAAGGTAGTAAAGGCCAAGTTGTGATGTTGTGCAACCATAAACAATCAACCGTTATCATAAGCGGACCATTATAAAGCTCTACCACTAATAATGCCTTCTGAAGACGCAAAAATCTACACTCAGAAAAAAATGTGCAAAAATTGTAGTAATATATACATACTTTAATGGTACCATTATGAACCCTTTAGGGTCAAAGAAGGTGCAAAGGTACAATTTTTGCAGTTTTTTTTTAAGAGTGTAGTTATATCAACTGTTTTACACGAGTACAAGAGCACATTAATAGTTTTAGATATTTGAAAGGTAGTTAGTAGGTACTCTTGGATGGTTCTTCTTTTGAAGAAGATGATTTTGTGAGATCTATTAATGAAAAGCACCTTGCACTAAACCGTTCCCAGTCGCAGACACTACCATCACACCTTACACACTCATAGTAAGCTCCAAAGCTGGCAGAGGCACCTGCGCTTTTCACTTCAAAGACTCCTATATAATTAATCCCCTCAGGAAAAATGCCTCCCCTCCATTTAGATGGCTATCCGAGTCAAGAAAGATGCACATACTCTTCCCAAATGCAGATGTGAAACAGAGGAAGTCTGCCAGGATGACTGTTCAATAACCGCTCCTGTACATTCAATGGGTTCTGGTGAGCCTAAACTCCCTCCTCTCTGGATTACGCTGCCAGTCAGGTAAATTCTAAAAAGGTGCTTCTCGTTAGAGGAACTCTTTGTGTTCTATGGGTAAATAGCCGAAGGGCCCTGAGGGGTTAATTGAACGCACTGTCATTCAAAGCAGCCTGTCAGAGAGACACATCAGAGCCAGTGAGAAGGTCTCTACTGTCAAGAGCCCATGAAGCTAAATTGGTCAAACGCATTGCTTGTCGCATAGGAGCAAGGCTTATCATTAGTCCACGAATCAAATTTTTGCATCATGTCAACACTGGCCATGAGCAGTGCATCAAAACTAGAATGTTCCCAGTATTGATCAACAAAGATGGTGGCGTGACTAGACTTGTGCCGGTATTCGGTGATGCGATATATCCCGGTAATGAGTATGCACGATATTGTTATCGTGGGCACTTCTAAATACCGTGAATAATTATATTTTACAAATTATTCATATAGCTGCAAGCAGCAATTGCTGGGCCAAGCACTCCAGTGGCAAAATGAGGAGCTAAGCATGGCATGGAGCATCAGACCAAATGCAATAATGAGTAATAAAAGCAATTTTAGGATGATTGTAATTGAAATGGCTGAAAAATCATAAATACAACCACTAGTAATATGATTAAATGGCTTATCACTTTTGACCAACAAGTGGCGCTGTAATGAAATCCTTTTGGTGTGTTCTGTGTGAGGTGATATTGACACACACAAAGTTTGTTGTCATTATGTCAAAGCTTTGCAGAGATAAAGCCTCAGAGTCATTTTGGCATCATGCCTTAAATTTGTAGTGGCACTGTACGAAAACGGTTTTGTCTATTGACACGAAATCCATAACTTTTTGTCAGCACAGTCTGAAGATGATTTGACTCGATTTTGGTGAAAATTGGACCAACGAGTGGCGAGGAGTTAAAAAAAGTAGGTTTTCAACATAAATCAAAATGGCGGACAGGAAGTTCAGCTTACTCTGGCATATTTGGTAGCAAATGTAGCTATTGCTCATTGTGAATGTTAATGCATTAACTAAGGTTAACTAATGAGGTCTTATTGTAAAGTGATACCTATTGGTCTTTATAGTTCTTTTGCACTTTAATCTGTGTAAAACTTTTAATTTTATACATTTTTCTGTATTGCTTTATTGCATTTAAATGTTGTTATTTTTGTTATAAGAAAAAAAGTTATTAAACCTGTTATACTGTATTATGACAGCACTTTTTTTTTAAACTAAATTTCAATATCGTGATAATACCGTATACCATGACAAAAGCATTAGCAATTAATCGCAACATGAAAATTTGATACCGGCATATCCCTAGGCGTGACACTGTGCACCCTATTTCACTTTCTGTTCGCGATGTCTGCACTGCTAACCCTTCCACGTTATTTTTAGCATGCATCTAAAAGGAAATCATTTTATAGGCATGTGCAGATACTGAAAATGTGGCTAATACTGATTAGCTACATTTTTAAATAAATACTAAAAACTAAAATCGATTTAAAGGCTCTAAATTTTGACATTAATATGTTGACTTGAAATAACTTTTGACCATTACACCAAAGGCAATTTGTGATGTTTCTGTTCTGAACTACTCATTGAAATCATTTGCCTTTTAAACATTCATGTTTAGAGAGTTAAAGATACAGTAACAATAACAAAATTATGTGCAAAATTGTTTTGAACAGAAAACAGTAGGGCTGCACGATAAATCGCATGCGATATTTCATATATGAACGTGGTTTTGCGCAGCTTGTCAGTGAACAACGGCTCTGTGTAGTAAATGCTGCTCCATGTGAAAGCACGCACGTGATGGAGATTTACCGCTGATTACAGAAGCGGCTTTACTGACAAGATGCACATTAAATATCGCATGCGATTTACCGTGCAGCCCTAGAAAACAACACATTATTTTACACCAATGGACATCCATTTTAAAATAAAATGGGAAATAAATTTGCTGAAGTCCAACCACAAACACGCAACTGATTGGTCTGTTGTTGGTGAACATTTTGAGGTGACATGCAGCTTTCATGTCATCAATGTTGACAGCCTCAAGTTTACGTTGCTTCCAGCTTAGACATAGGCTGATGATACACGGGGCAACTTTTTGAGCAATGTTGCCGGGCAACTTTTTTTGAGCAGTGTTGCTTGGGTACTTTCTCACTGAAAATAGGTAACACATTTCTATCTGGATACTTAAGATTGGTCATGGGCCCTGTGTATCACCTGGTTGCCCATAACCAAAGTTGCCCAGCAATATTGCTCAAAAAGTTGCCCCATGTATCATCAGCCATAGAGTTTGACCAATAGGATTAATTTCATAAGAATATATATTACTAATACCATTCTTCACTTTTAAGACCAATAATCCTCATTTTTTTAAAGACATTTAGACTTCCAATTTTAATCAATAATGACAGCAATTTCGAAGTTTAATTGAACTTACTTCTTTCTCTGTCTGGGCACAGACTGAAGCGGTGTTGCTGTGGATAACACGTCCTTACGAGGGCGGCCCCGGGGCCGCTTATCTGTGGGGGCCGGACTTCCAGTGGGAGTGGCCCCAGAGCTGCTAGGTGGCGGCGAGGATCCTTTGTCAGAGGGGTCTAGACTTTTCTCCTCTGATGACATTCTGTGAGAAAAATTATGTACAAGTAATATATTAGTTTCACAAAAATAATGTCACAAAATGCTACATTTCCAGGAAAGCTTACAACGCGGCAAGTTTTAAAACACAACATTCTCCAACCAGTGAGGTTTTAATTCTATTTTTATTAAACACTGGTAACGCCAGAGGAGAAAATAATCCCCGAGCTTAATACTAAAATATTTGAATAAGCTCATATGATTTGCTCATAATACGGAGTCCAACTCTCAACTGAACCACCATGAAAATTAGTCAAAATAAGTGTTAGCACACTTTATTAATTCCAATATAAACAATCCTCACAATGCTGTTTAGTTGTTACATTTGATACCAGAGCAAAAACCAACACACTTAAAATTTTTCAGATTTTTTAAAAGGAAGTTCAGTTCTTGAAATGATGGGATATCGATCTATAAATTAATCTATCTATAAATAATCATTTTTATCTTGTGACATATTAGCACAGCATGATGTACATGGGTCTCTATGCTCCAATAAAGAGTAAACACAACGCAGTTGTAGGTGACAGACCAAGTTTCGGTCATGTTTTTGTATTCTTTCTGAATGTTGTGCACATTGTTAGTCGCTGCTCTGCTGGATCCCCAGTGCTGACCCTTGCGCCTGCTCTGCGTGGTGCTTCTGCCAACGGGATGCTGTCTTTTCCGGGAACTACGTGGGATCCCTCCCTGGGCTGCTCTCATTGTATCCTGCCTTGAGTAAACAATTAGACCTCACATGGTTGAGTTAAGCCTTCAATGAGGCTGTGTGCATTGCCATTAGTGCATACGTACACAATGTCTGTGGTAGCGGTTTAAAGACCTCATGAAATGACTTGGCGAAAGCATTTTTCTTTCGTGTTGATTTCCTACTGAAACAGGAAGCTGGGGAGAACGAATCGAAGAAACTATCTCCTAGTTTTAAACAGCCAGAAGGCTTTAGTTTACATCACAGCTGAGACGCATGAGCTGCTACATGCTATTGCTAGAAAAAGGCTATATTGGGGTAGGGACATTATCATTCTAGAGAGCATTTGATTGGATAAACATTTGTTTACGCCCCTGAGTGCAAGATGACTCATCAACATTTTCAGTTCTTTTTCACAGAATAAAAAAACTGCATACATCCGCTGCATTTAGTTTGTCAACTTAAAATGAATTAGACATGAACTAAAAAGTCGCAAAACTCCAATTCTGATTTCATGAGGTCTTTAACAGGAAAAAATATCAGCATATGGACCTGACGTATAATGACAAGGGCTTAAAGTAGGGCTGCACGATAAACCGCATGCGATATTTAATGCGCATCTTGTCAGAAAGCCGGTTCTGTAATCAGCGGATCGCATGCGATTTATCGTGCAGCCCTAGTTTAAAGGTGTCTTTTAAAACTATTCTAACACAATACATCTGCAGAGTTCATAGCAAACATCAGTCCGTGGTTAACATCTGCATCAGCCTTGCAAGTGCAAAGGATTTCCAAACCTCTCAAGAGGTATTAAAAATACATTAAAAAAACTAAAGTTATTTGTAAATGTTACAAAAGGATACAGACCTTTGAATCTTTCCCTCTATTCACTCTGCATGTACAGAATAATGCTGCTTCATAATTATCATTAACCTCAATGGATTCATTTTACGACAATTAGTTACATTTTTGCATCTCTACATGCAATTTAAAGTTTTCACTTAAGTTTTAGTCAGATGTCATGACAGACATTGATCATAAACAGGTTTTTCTAACACAACATGGTAGCAGCACCAGCTAATGCATTCACATGTACATTATATTTGTGTTTAAAATGCATTAATGTATATTTGTGTATCTTTGCCGTCTACATTTGATACTGCTGCGATTTTGTACCTGCATTTCCCATTGGGCTCAAGAACAATCTACATAAACTCTACAAAACTAAATGTACTTGATGTGGTAACATCTAACCTAAATGGTTAAATTCAAGTAAAAAGTTAATAATATAATACTCAAATCAACTTAACTTAACAATAGGGTTAGATCAGTAAAAAGAAATGGATTCTTAACCACACAACACATTTAGGCCTACTGTTTGTACCCTAATTTCACCCTAAATGAGGTTCAATAAAGACCTATCTATCCATCTAGCTATGCCATTTGGATCTCTAATGTCTCCATCTATCTATGAAATGATGAAGTAGCATTCAATCAGCCATGTATACAGGACTTCTTTTGAAGTTAACTAGAGAGTGGGTCAGTCAAATGCATGAATACTTTTGAACACTATACATAAGGTTCGTACAATGCATACCTCACAAAAAGATATACTGGAAATGATTTGATATCACAACACATGCAAGAACCAGAGGGACAGCCTTGGTGAAACAACAGAAGCACACAAAGCAAGTGCTTCTTCACGTGAGGGGGGCATGTCCAGCTTTTTGCCTTTGTTCAGTTGTCTCCAGAGCTCTGTGTTTCAAAACCTTATGTACGCAGGGTGCCAATAATACCGTCATGCCATGAAATACTCCAACGTTTTCCATACTTAATACTTTTTATAAAACGGGAAAAACAAGAAGAAGCCTGCTACTCTGAAGGAGAGAGTCGGATTTGAACTCTTTAGGGAGTCCAAAGGTTAACGCCAAGTATCTCTGCTCTCCAAAGACGCAGCATTTATGATGATAATCGCATGCTAAGTGGTGTGAGAGTGGAAATATAACTGTAAATGCGCAAGCAAGGCTATAAGTGGATACAGTAGAGGCCTTGCAAGCCCGGCTGATTAACTTGTGAACGTTACTCAAGCCTGGAGTCGCCTATCCAAGCGGAATCATATAACGGCCCATTAAAGGCAGTGGACACTAAAGATGCAGGGCGTTTTTAGCCGTACTTTTATGGTTTTTATAGTAAATAAGGAGGTTAGCAAGAATATAAGATGAAGAACAGCTGCACACTCGGTCGAAATGAAGTGTTCGCGTGCAGAAAGGCGACAAAAGCGCTCGCAAATGATGGCGAGAAACACACACAACACACTCGTCGATCGATATTTACTTACCTCTTCGACCCTAGCAATTTTTATTTATTTCCTTCATGACATGAACCGTCATATACGTGACTTATAGTACTTTTGTTTAGTGTTTGTGGCGCTGGGGGGGTTGGGGAGGAATACACCACTATTCCTCAGGAAAATAAGCCAGCGTGACAAAGCGATATCTTCTGCGATTCTGTACACGTATTCCAGTAAAATCCACTTTTATGTGCGGAAAATCTGCAATGTGTAATCCATAGGCAGAAAGCACCCGCTTTCCTTCGGTTTGAACGGATCACTTTTCTTTATTCCGCTTCATCCCACATCGCCAAATCCTCGCGGGTTAACGTTACATCCCTCATCCGAAAACAAGCCATACCGACCGCTTTCTGAGCTCCTGCGAGGCGATGACAGGAGCCGAGCCCTGGCCACATTCGGGAAAATACAGCCCAAAATATCCTCGAATGAGAGAAAACCGAAAGCAGATTTCGCTTTCAAGCTTTCAATCCTGACGATTTCGATCAGCTCGCGGAGCAAGCTGCAATTTCGAGCAATAGGCTATTTATTAACGCTAAACACGTCGAGATGATCTACTTTCCTGGGTATTCACAATTTGTACAAGCGAAAAACGATTATTAGACGCGACTGTAGAACGGAGAATAACGTAAAACGTTACATTTCTGCATTGGTACAAATATTAAAGTTGTAGCTTTGACTCCATGGTAGCCATATTTGAGTGTAACCGAATCACGCCCTGCGAGCGACACCATGATAAATAGTGCCACAGCATTAAACACGGCACTCAGAGGAACGACACCTTCTCATTTAGAAGTGAATGCCGTTATCCTTCATAATAAGACTAGAGTGTATTTTTAAATCACATAATGGCGGTTTCACAAACGCCAGTGCAAAATAAAAATAATATAAACTGACCCTGCGGAGTGATACGTTGGAGCGCTCAGCAGGTGAGGCGACTTTTTTTTCACGCACAGAATTTCTGCAAAACGCGGAACGGATTCTCGTAGAAGAACCAATCGGCCGGTCTTCAGTCTCCATCCAGGCCAGGAGGTCATGTGGTTGTGTTCCATTGACTTTAAAGGGATACTCCACCCCAAAATAAATTTTGTTGTCATTAATCACTTACCCACATGTCATTCCAAACCCGTAAAAGCTTCGTTTCGTCTTCGGAACACAATTTAAGATATTTTGGATGAAAACCGGAGGCTTGTGACTCCCATAGACTGTCGTTATTTTTGTTTTCTTCGTGTACAGAAAGTATTCTCGTCTCTTCATAACGTTACAGTTGAAACACTGATGGCAGATGGACTATTCTGATGATGCTTTTCATACTTTTCTGGACCTTGAAAGTGTATTTTACTTGGCAGTCTATGGGACAGTCACAAGCCTCCCGGTTTTCAGCATTTGTAAATTGCTCAATAACAAGTTACCTGGAAGATTAAACTCTGGCTACCTGAGAACGAATTTATAGTTCAGGGTAAATTTCCTGCATGATTACAGTTTTGGGAATATTTCAAAATATACTTTCAAAAGAACACTGAGATAAAGCACAAGTCAGGAGATAAACACATATAAACACATTTTAAATTATGATTAAAAAGACTAAAAAGAGGCTGGTGGACATTTTAAATGTGCAAGTAAGTCTTTAGCGCAAAAATTGGTCATAATTACCTATGACAACAAAATTAGAAGCATTCTAGGCTGGAAAAGAGCAAAAACACTCCTTTAAATCCACAATGAGTTTTATTCTTATATATTGTCCTTGTATATAAATAAATAGGCATATATATATATATATATATATATATATATATATACACACATATACAACCAGTTTTAGATTACATCAGTGAAATATGCAGAAAAAATGGGAACCTAAAAGGCATTTGTGATTTTATATCTCACAGTTTGATTTTATATTCCTCAATGGGACTTTTAACCATATTAAAAAATTTAGCTCACAATACTTCTTTTTTTATACTGCCAAAAGTGTTAATATAAAAGAATAGGGAGTATTGTAGTTTAAATCACTTCCTTCCTGGAGTGTCTGAATAGCTTAGGTTTAAAAACAAATAAATAAAAACATTTTAAAATTTTAAATTGAGATAAAAATGTATCTATATAATGATGGTTAGCTTACAAACACTTGAAATAAAACAGAAATTTATAGCCTATATATCTTATATAAGGCAAAGTTATATTCACATACTGTACATGTTTATCTAAATTACTTATTTTTGTTAAAAATGTTAACTAGTCTTTTTACAGTTATTTCTAACTTGCTTGGCTAGGGGGCAGTGTGACACTTCGCACTGTTCTTCAGCATGTGATCGATCTTCATGAGCAAGGACACACACACACACACACACACACAGACAGACAGACAGACAGTCATGAACTTTTCATCTGTTAAAAGAAGTTGTATAAACATTGATATGAACTGGAATGAATGTTTTGAATGGGTCTTTGAAAATGAAAAATACTTAGACAAGTTGAATGAATTTCAAAGAGAAAAGGCATCCAGTCATTCAAGTAGTAGCCCTATATGTGCCTTTCTTAATCTTATTGTGGCACACTGTGCTTGACTGTATGTCTTTGATCTGTCACTATGAGATCTGCATGTCAGATCAAATGTTTAACAAAGCAGACAGGGACTGTAGATCTAAATGGCAGACATTACAAATCAGTTGTGGCTACGGACAAAATTGAGGGCCCATAGCCATATTTTATTTGAAACCGCATTCACGACTCACTTTACCTCTGTATTGTGACTGTATAGGCTACTTAAAGCTGCAGTCCGTAACTTTTTTGTGTTCAAAATTTACAAAATTGATATAATAAGCGAGTACACCATGAATCCATTTTCCAAACCGTGTTTTCGGCTTGTCCTGAATCACTACGGTACACCTATAATAAGTGTTTATATTTGGACTATTTAGACTGGTTCGGGTAGGTACCGCTGCGGAGTAGCCCAGTACCTGCGTGATTCGCCATAGACATGACCGATGAGCTTTGTAAAAATCGACGCGTTTCAGAAAGGCGGGGCATAGAGGAGAAACAATAATGTACAGTATGTGGAAAATAATGTGTTTTTTTTACTTTAAACCGCATAAACACATTTCATTACACCAAACACACAAAATAATGTTCTTTTTAGCAGCATCATATGACCCCTTTAAAAAAAAATAAAATCTGGTAAAGCTTCTTTTTCAAATCTAACATGATTTGCTATTACTGCCGTAACCACCAGTACTTATTAATCAGCATTAAAATTCTCTGTTGAAGGAATAGTTCTAACAAAATGAAAATTGTCATCATTTAGCTACTCAACCTCTTGTCATACTACACCTGTATGACTTACTTTCTTTTGTTAAACAAAAAAAGTTATTTTGAGAAATGTTTTTGCTTTTTTTTTTGTCCAAAAACCAACATTCTTCAAAATATCTTTTGTGTTAAACAGAAGAAAGTACAGTAAGTCATATAGCCTATGTTTGGAATGACATGAGGGTGAGTACATTTTTGGGTGGACCATCATCTTAACTGCTGGCAAGATTTTAGAAAAGCTACAACAGTAGCCGATAACTACAGCTGTTCAGGTGACATTAACAGCAATGCAGCCTAGATGAGCTGGAAAGACAAGCTGATTCTGAAGCAGAACAAGTTTGTTAGATGCAAAATTATGAAAACATGTTCTAATGCAAACTGATGAATTGCTCACAATAAGACAAGGGGTGTGTGTTAGGGTACAGTTTTAATCAATCCTGTCAAGATAAAGAGAGAGAGAGAGAAAGAGCTTTGATCAGCAGTTTCTAAACAGTTCTTCATCATTTATAAATACTTTCTCCATTTGTGTGTAGTATTTATCCAGTTCTAATTTTACACCGACACGCCAGCATTTATTTTATTAGTATATTCTGCAGTGGCCGAAGCTGGCGCAAGACATATCAAAGAACTTATCTCTTTAAAAAAAACAAAAAAAAACAGTATACTTTATTTGACATCACAGACTTTTGCCACTTATTAGTCAGAGGGCAGGTGGTGTTGGAGGAGAATTCTCATTCTAGAACATTTTTATTAGACAAACTTTTTTTAGACAAACAGCGTCTTCACAACATGGCGGCGGCGGTGGCAGCAACAATAAAGTTACGCCTTCTTTCTTTGTGTGAACATTTGGGCAGCGTTATGCAAATCTTCCCACACAGTGACGTAGATATGTGGGGCGTGATTAAACGAGTCGTTTTAGGAGGGCGTGGACCAGTCTTAACTTTTATAAAGAATATCTCTTTGGGTTTGAGACTTTAGTCTTTGCAACTTTAGGGATCTTATCTATTCACGAACAGCTTGTAACACTCCAAAGAGAAAGGAAAACTTGAAATCGCATCATATGACCCCTTTAAATGAGTGCCAACTGAGTCTCTACAGTGAACCCAGCACCTCACTAAAGCACCCAATCTGGGATTCATGAAGTCAATGCTTATCATCATCAAACAGCAGGAGGCAGAAGATGCTCTAAAATTGATATATGACGCCAGTTCAGCATACATGAAAGACCTGTTTAAAGGTTAATCACTGTATCTAATTACTTAAGCAGAAAGAACAGGCCTCAGAAGAATAAGAGTTGAACTCCAAAGGCTACGCCTTGTCCTTTCAGGAACATAAAAACTGGATTTGCTTCCAGATTTTACATTAGACCTCAAGTGGCAACCACACAGTTCTAATAGCGGTTTCTAAATGCCACTGATGTGTCCATGGATAGAAAACATTTAAAATGAACAATACATTTGTTTATATAAACAAGAACATCAATTGAGATATTTTATGGCAGTCCCCAAAATAACATATATGCCTTCTGAATGCTTTGAACACCCCTAGTGTCTGATAACCTTGGGTTGTGCAAGTCTTAAGCAGAAACAGGGATTACTGAGGCAAAAAACGAGTGCTTTGGTATAAAGAGTAAAGGCAATCGATAACTTGTTATGATGAAATCTGAAGGCTTTACTTTCACATGCATTCAGACAGACCCTGAAAGAGCCTGTGTTGAGCCAGCTTAAACACAAAAGGAGAACTAGATCCATCTATTGAAAGGGCTGAGCTCTGTTACAAAATCTCTCTTCTGGGCCCAGTGCTTTAAACCTGATGGGACTTTCCGTTTGAGAAAAGGTTGAGAGGTCTAGAGGGGTTCCTCGGTTCACTGAAAGAATGAATAATCAATGTGCTGCTGTTTAGACTGATTCATGTACAAACAAACATCGGCTCGTGACTTCATTTGGATTTTTACAATGTTTTGGTCATGTATGTGAGTATTGTGTTGATATTTTGAGGGTGAAAAGTAGAGGATAGCTTTAACAAATGCTGAAAATAATGTTTAGTACAGGAGTATAAAGGTTTTGATTATTCTGTGTAACTCTTTCACAAGCATTCACAGATTTAAGACTTATGCGATGTGAGCTACAGAATCACTGTATTTTCCAACAAAGCACTTAATTATAGGACAGAGGATCTAAAAAGGATCTTAATCTTTTTATGCTATAGGACATCACTGTTCAACAGTGAGATTTTTAGAAAAAAAATAAATAAAAAAATCTCAAACGAGCTGCATTTATTTGATCAACAATACAGCAATACTGGGAAATATTATTACAACTTAAAATAATATTTTTATATTTAAATCTATTTTAAAATGTAATTTATTGCTGTGATCAAA